GAACATCAAAATGAATTGAGGCTTAATAATGAATTCACACAAAATTGTATTGAATTCTAAGTTTTGTCTGGCCTCTTGTCATGGGCCATAAAAGGTTTCTTATTGTATAATCAGACAGGTACTAATTTTTACCAGTTAGTATCATCAATCATGTCTCTTGTTTTACAAATCTATGTTTTTAATTCCATAAGCCAATCAATCCCAACGAAATATCTTGAGGTAGGAAAAAGGTAGCACGGCTGTTGAGGATTTATTTTATAGCTTAAGGTCCAAGGATGGTTGGAAAAATATCAGAAGTGTCAAAATGCCCCTACACTGCTAGTGTTTATATCAAATGTTTGAAATATACCAGCTGATGTAAACATTTCGTATTTGTTTTGATTTTGATTGGGAGTTTTGTTTTTAGGTTAGAATGGTAATGCAGTGTTAATATGTATCGTGTTAGGGAAAGATGGAGACTAAATGTGTAAAAAGTGAGTATTTAATTTCAATTTGTATACACAACTTCACAACTAAAAAACAGCAATTGCTGCTATGGTCCCCTAGTGTACCACTAATTTAAGTATGATTTAGGTTTGTTCTAATATTTGTTTCAATAGTTTTAATGGGAAACATAATACACGAGCAAACTATATCTTACACCCGAATGGGCAAGTAAATTAAAGTAAGTTACGGTATAATTGAAAAAATATATAAATAGGCTACTTGTGTTGGCTGTAATAATATTGATACTGATAATTGAAATATTTAAACAAGCATATATTTTCTGTTGACCAATTAATTATTTGGTCAAATTTCAACAAGTTATAACTAGTGAACAGTGATTAAACAATGAACAACTCAGACTTTGATCAAACGACATGTACGTACGGTACCGGTAGCTTTTTTAACGTGTTAAGCTCGTTCTAGCGTCTTTTCCACAAACCATTTTGACAATCATCAAATTGGTTTGTAGGTTTAAATACTTAATGTTTGGTTCGAGTTATTTTAATACCCATAGACAGTTTTATAACAAAGAAAACTAATTATTGAGATTTTAATGAGTGACAAAATTTTATTGATTTTGATGATTCTGCTAGTTGTATGGTCATAGACTAACCACTGTGGTATGGTCAATTGATACTTGTTAAAATATAAATAAGCAAAATCTATCCACCTATCTATCTTCTATATATTTAATTCCGTGAGCAAATCAGTCCCCACCCATGAAATATCACGAGCTAGGGAAAAGGTAGCATGGCTGTTGAGGATTAATTTTAAAGCCGTCCAAGGACGGTAAGAAAAATATCAGAAATGTCAAGAACTACCCCTGATCTGCCACACAGGCCGTCAAAGATCTAGTCATTTTCTAATAGAAGTCTTGATACAGTGTTTCTATAAAGCTGTTTTAAATATACCAGCTGAAGTAAACATTGCTTATTTGTATGTTTATTGCTTTTAGTGTTCTGTTTTTAGGTTAGAATGGTAATGCAGTGTTGATATGTATCGTGTTAGGACCGGGACTAAATGTGTAATAAAGTGTGTATTTTATTTCAATTTGTATAGCCTACATAACTAAATTGCTGCTATGGTCCCCTAGTGATATTGAAGGTTATACGGGTAAATCAATAACAGGTTAGTAATTAATAATTTATAATGTTATAATGAGTTAGTTTTCTGGGATAAAATGTGAATATAGCAATAATGACATAGGGTTTAGTTACGGTATAAAGACCAATCAAAATATTTCTTTTAAACTCTCTAAAACAGACAAGGTAGATTAACCTAGAATGTTGGTAACTATGTTTAATTTTTTTACAAGCAGACATGGTCCCTATAGAGATATTGCAAAACCAATTTTGGTCCCATTAATTTAGTCACCGGTACCTATTGTGTACAACTATTTAGGAAGCACCTTAATCATACAGAAAATTGCAATATTTTTTTCAGCCAGTGTTTTTAAAAACAAACACACTAGATGGTTCTGGGTGGTAATCAGGGAAAGCAATGCAAGTGAAGCTGTACGCTACCTGAGCAATGTTAATTACCACCAAGCATAGTTTACATAAAATTACACACTCGTGGACTGCTACTCAACGTTGCTGTACCTGTAATTCGTGTAGGCCTATTTACGTAGGACAATGGAACATGCCATACAGTTTGAGAGGACCACAATTGGAGTAGCACTGATTACCACACAAATAATTACCATTAACATGATGGTAATCACACTGATGGTAATGTCACTTTTTCTTTGTTGCAAAAACAACCCGCTGCGCCGCTCTTGTATTGATCTCAGTCAGTCCAGTGTAAAGTTATAACCACGTGTTTGAAACAGTAACTACATCCTAGCATTGCCGTTACCACAGTGGTAATCACGATGGTAACAGTGATGGTAATGTCAGAGTGGTAGTTACAACGTGGTCCGCTCTGCCGCTCTTGTATTGATCTCAGTCCAGTGTAGCGTTACAACCACGTGTTTTACCAGTAACTACATCCTTACATAAACGTTACCACAGTGGTAAACACAATGGTAACAGTGATGGTAATGTCACAGTGGTAGTTACAACGTGGTCCACTGCGCCGCTCTTGTATTGATCTCAGTCCAGTGTAGCGTTATAACCACGTGTTTTACCAGTAACTACATCCTTACATAAACGTTACCACAGTGGTAAACACAATGGTAACAGTGATGGTAATGTCACAGTGGTATTTACAACGTGGTCCGCTGCGCCGCTCTTGTATTGATCTCAGTCCAGTGTAGCGTTATAACCACGTGTTTAACAGTAACTACATCCTAGCATTGCCGTTACCACAGTGGTAATCACGATGGTAACAGTGATGGTAATGGTACTCTGGTAGTTGCAACGTGGTCCGCTGCGCCGCTCTTGTATTGATCTCAGTCCAGTGTAGCGTTATAACCACGTGTTGTCATCTGAGTTGTTACATGTTACATTCAATATAACTGTTAAATTAATACTCAACTGTTGATTGCATAGTTACTTTTTCCCAATTTTCTTTTTTCTTTGCTTTGAATTTGAATGCCCTGTTATCGTTTGATTTATGAATATACTAATCGTGATTGTTCTTAATGCTGTTTTGTTTTTTGATTTACGTTTAAAATAAATATTTCATAATTTATTTCTGTAAACGAATGACCATGTTACTTCTTAATAAAAATTATGTAAGGTTGTGTTCTCAGATAAAACACAAGAGTTTCAAGTGTGTCCGTAACAAATCTTGCTAAATAATTTAACTTGTTTCGTTATTTATTTTGATAAAATCTTGGTAAGAAATGCACAATTAAACTATGCAACATGTATGTTTACGGGTTTCGACTGTCATATACAAATCTATTATTTCCTATTGTATGAATAATGGGGGAGCGAGCTGGTCTATTGATAGAGCACGTGACTTCGGTTACAGAGGTCCCGGGTTCAAATCCCGCCAAATCATGAATGGATTTTATCCATGTGATAATGCCGCAACGCCTAGGTCTAGCCTGGAATAATGTGAAAAACAATTCCGGGCTCGTCCCTGGTGTCCTGGGAAAAAATTGGAATAATAACATTTTGTGAACTCCGAATCACGTTTAGTTTTGACCGATAAACGAGTAGATTGCTGATGAAATCATGGAAACACGAAACCAAACGGGTTGTCAGCTTTGATCTGTTTTGATTTGCGAATCCCATCTTTGTGAGCGACAGGACAAACACAAACGTTAAACGACGTTTCCCATTCGGAGTAAAAAACTATCATTCACACTGTGTTTGGTCTGGGAAACAGTTTATTTGGCTTTTACCACTAACTTAGTAAACGGTTTTGAGGTTCACTTTTTTACCACTCAACTCATAATTTGTTTTCAGGCGATCGTTTACAATAGTATACTAATTCTTAGAATCACTATATCACTGGATGATGTGGTGATATGATTGCATAAACGGTCTTTATGATTCAACAAAGAAACATAATTATATCTTTAATAATTAAGGTGGTGACATTTTCTCATTAAGAGGCGATGTGATTTTATGTGGTAGTAATGGTGATAATTTTGTCCAAGGAATATACGGTTTTATGTGGTAAGACAATGTTATTGTCGAATAAAGCGGCGTTATTACGTGTTTAAATTAGAAGTGTGTGAAATTATCACTTAATATGTCATGATGTGTTTGGATGAGGCAGTGATATTATCTCGTGAAGAGATGTTACTATGTTCTTAGATGATGAGGCAGGGTTATTAAATCCTATAAAAAGCGTTATTATTCTCTTGGGTAAAGAGACAATGATATTATCTCTTGAAGAGGTGTCATGTCATGATGTTCTAAGGTAAAAAGACAATGATATTATCTCCTGAAGAGGCGTTATGATGTTCTAAGGTAAAAAGACAGTGATATTATCTCCTGAAGAGGTGGTATTATTTTCTTAGGTAAATAGACTATGATATTATCTCTTGAAGAGGCGTTATTATTTTCTTAGGTAAATAGACAGTGATATCTCCTGAAGAGGCGTTATTATGTTCTTAGGTAAATAGACAGTGATTTTATCTCTTGAAGAGGTGTTATTATGGTCTTAGGTAAATATACAGGGATATTATCTCCTGAACAGGCGTTATTATGTTCCTGGGTTCCTGAAGAGGCGTTATCATGTTCTTAGGTAAATGGTAAATAGACAGTGATATTATCTCCTGAAGAGGCGTTATCATGTTCTTAGGTAAAAAGACAGTAATATTATCTCCTGAAGAGGAGGCGTTATTATGTTCTTAGGTAAATAGACAGTGATATTATCTCCTAAAGAGGCGTTATCATGTTCTTAGGTAAATATACAGTGATATTATCTCCTGAAGAGGCGTTATTATGTTCTTAGGTAAATAGACAGTGATAATCTCCTAAAGAGCCGTTATGATGTTTCTGGGTTCCTGAAGAGGCGTTATAATGTTCTTAGGTAAATAGACAGTGATATTATCTCATGAACAGGCGTTATTATGTTTTTAGGTAAATAGAAAGTGATATGATTATAAGTCTATGGTGCAGAGTGTGGTATTGTATGGCTCGGAAGTCTGGGAGTTGAAACAAAGGAACACTGGAAAGTTGTTGGCTACGGAGATGGATGTGCTCAGGAGGAGTTGTAGGAAGAGAAGATTGGACAGGGTGAGGAACGAAGATATTAGAAGAGAAATGGAAGTGGAAGGAGACATAATAGATGAGGTTCAAAGAAAACAGTTGGTCTGGTTCGGCCATATAAATCGGATGGAGGAGGGTCGGCTCCCACGGCAGGTTATGAACTGGGTTCCACCTTGGAGGAAAAAGAGAGGACGACCCAGGCGCAGTTGGCGGATGGGGATTCAGGAGGCAATGGCGACAAGAGGCCTTGAGATCGGCGACTGTGCCGATAGACAGCTTTGGAAGCTGGGAGCGGAGAGACGGCGCGAGCTGTAGAGATCCGCAACAAGTAACAAGTAACAAGTAAGAAAGTGATATTATTTCTTGAAGAGGCGTTGAGACAGTGATATTATCTCCCGAAGAGGCGTTATAATGTTTAGGTAAATAGACAGTGCTATTATATCCTGAGGAGGCGTTATCATGTTCTTAGGTAAATAGACAGTGATATTATCTCCTGAAGAGGCTTTATTATGTTCTTAGGTAAATAGACAGTGTTAATCTCCTAAAGAGCCGTTATGATGTTCCTGGGTTCCTGAAGAGGCGTTAAAAGGTTCTTAGGTAAATAGACAGTGATATTATCTCATGAAGATGCTTTATTATGTTCTTAGGTAAATAGACAGTGTTAATCTCCTAAAGAGCCGTTATGATGTTCCTGGGTTCCTGAAGAGGCGTTATAATGTTCTTAGGTAAATAGACAGTGATATTATCTCATGAAGATGCTTTATTATGTTCTTAGGTAAATAGACAGTGTTAATCTCCTAAAGAGCCGTTATGATGTTCCTGGGTTCCTGAAGAGGCGTTATAATGTTCTTAGGTAAATAGACAGTGATATTATCTCATGAACAGGCGTTATTATGTTCTTAGGTAAATAGAAAGTGATATTATTTCTTGAAGAGGTGTTGAGACAGTGTTATTATATCCTGAAGAGGCGTTATAAAGTTCCTGGGTTAGGAGACAATGATATTATATCCAGAAGATATGTTAGCACGTTCCTGGGTGATGGACTGTCACCTTCGCATCAAGAGTTCAAACACACGTTGTGCATGTCACCAGCCGACCTTTATTTTAGATTCTTCTAAACGTTTACGTGTCATTTTTCATGTGGTCTGATGTATTGTCTGTTGTTCTGGTGTTACGAGGAGGCTAGATGTTGCGGCTGGTCGGCCGCGGCTCTGTGTAGTGGGTATTGATCGTGCTGTTGCCGCACTCTGTACCGCGGCCGCCACTACTGTGTTCTGCCATTGCCCCTTGTACCTCGTAACCTCGTGTTACACTCTCGATTTTATTATCAATTAAACTATACACAATTATTAATGCTATGAGTACAGATATCCAATACCAATAGCTGATTGACAGGCTGGATCTTGTTCCTACAGGATGAGCAGGGAGAAATCACTGATGAAATCCTAGGGGATAAAACACGCCTAGAGTGTTTCAGGGCAATATTAATAATTGTATTGCAAACTCATTATCTGAGATGGGAACTTGGCTAAAACCCGTGTAGAATGGAGTGAATTGTATCTCTTACTGGGAAGCTAATTCGTTAGCAAGGACCAGTCCACCTATTAAATGCCCGATGTCGAGTATTTTAAAGTTTTTCATTTATTAAATTAGAGCTAATTAGTGTTAACGGTGTTGACGAACTGAAATAAAAGTCTGATTAGAAAAATAAATTAATTACGACCATTACAAATTTACAAGGCTTGACAATATTTTACGTGCCTGTGTTTTTCCCCTTACTTCACTAGATCACTCAAGAATATTATAACAGAAACTGTATGTACAATAATGGCAAATTATGTTACTGGCCCATAAGTAAACATTATTTAACATGACTTAAATGGGACTGTCCAAACCATAAGCTAATTTTACAATACCAGTATAGGATTTGGGCCAGTTACGTCATTTTGTTCATGTTTATGATCCATACCGTTTCTGTTTTAACATTTGTGTGATCACTTTATCTTGACAGTGACGTATATGTATTGCAGACTAAATACATTGGCTTCCAAGCAAATACACTTCTGATTCTGTTGTAGTATCTTGAGTCTGTTGTCTATGTGTTGAGTGTCGGTGACGTTCAAGTGACCTGATATCTTTCGATGTTAACTTCGATGTTTTCCTCTTTTGGGCGTATGTATGGCTATGCGTGCTTTACATAAGACGTAATTGTTTGTAAAATAAATCGTAGTAAATATCCAAACACTACACATTTTAAATATTTAATACACCTAGCTTGAAGTTAGCTCAGTCACTTGCTGTCAAGTAAAAAAAGTGTCGTAGTTTGCTTGCTTATGAATGTATGTTGATCAAATTTCAGCAAACCTAAGTACTCGTTATATCTAACGCTATTTGAAAGAAGACGCCATATAACCGAACGAAAGTGGCCATTAAATTCATTCCAGTCGATTTTTAAGGATGGGGAATAAGGAGTACTAGGTGAAACCCGTCGAAATCGACGGATACTTTCAAGGCTTACGCGAGTTTTAAAATCAGAAAATAACATTGCAACTTCTTTTGGGCTATTCTGTAACTCCCAATAAATGTGTGTTGTTTAAAATACAACGAGAGCACGCCCCGTGGTCGAAAAATCGACCAAAAGTATGTTTTGTGCAAACTTCTCTATTTTCACCCCACAGTGTTAAATAAAACATGTGATTGGAATGTCTTCCATTTGTTTTGATTTTCTGTTTATATTTTGTTGTTATTTCGTCATCACCATAGCAACCCATAAAACCCATGTTAATTTTTTTTAATTTCAAATTCATTTGTTGTGCTTATTTTTGAGCCTATTTTAGTTTATAAAGGGATTCTGCACACCTACAGGAAAATAGCTTTCTAACGGTATGCGTAGATTTTCCGTACGATACACACGAGCCGAGAAAAAAGGTTTTAAAGAAACATGCTTGCCTATTAATATATAGATAGATTTTAAAATTAACAGCTGTTTTATTAAAAAGTATTATTCACATGACCAAAATGTAAACAAATCTGTTGACGGATCTTTAGAGGCTTCTGGGGCAGAGCCCTAAGCGAATTTACGTAGTTTTTCTTTTGATAACTCATCTAGAGACAAAGATCTTTCTTTGGACACCACCACCAACTTTCTACGCCCAGCCGTTCTCTCAAATTAGTGGAGACAAAGTTTCCAAATAAATATTTAGATTCCCCATGTTAATCTTATGGGAGAAAATCCAACTTTGATGGGAGATCCTGCCCAAACTAATAAAGATATAAAAAAACTAAAAACACTTTGCAAAACTACAGATCAAGGCAATTTTTTTGACACTTTAATCATCAAAATCGGTCCAAAAATGAGGGAGGAGTTCTGTTTACAAAAATCGGCTTAGCGTATTATATATATAGATAGATGTTTAGTCCACCTTATGTTTAAAATGATGAGTGTAAAAATAGAGTTAGATTAGACGTAATACGTAGCTTTGTTTAGAAAAAAAGTACGATAAAACGTGCAAAATAAACTACCCACCAATCTTTTCGACACGGTTCAAATTTACAGTCTAAAAGAACTAATAGGGATAATTTTGTTATTACACAACTAGTATTTTTGAAATTTATCCTATGTTTTTGCTGTCTTTAATACTTCCTAGGATGAACATAGTTGTAACCCGTTGTAGCTAGGTTTCTACGGTTACATCATCCGGTCCTGCCTTACCTATGTGACCTCATCGTACATGGTGTGAGTAAGCAACCGGTCCCACAGCTAAACACGCGTAATGCAGAAAGTTAAAGTTTTCCTGCAGTTATTCCCGTAATGATTGAGTGAATTGTATATCTTTGTCTATCAGATGTAATGATAATTTTTAAATTACTACGTGCAAATAGCACGATGTATTAATAGTTAAACGCTTGTTCTCTTGGGTTTATACCTAGAGCAGGGTGAAACGAACTGCAAAAAGCGAACTAACTAATTAACTGACTAATTAACTCGGTCGCGCATTAATTGCGCCAAAGATGTCCTTAATTGCGCCAAGCCCTAAAAGGGTCCCAAAAAATGTTCTTTAGTTTCGCCAAGCCCAAGCCAGGTGAGTTGCCGGCAGAACTAGAAGTAATTTCCTTGTTTACGTGTCATCGTAACCTAACCTATCCTAACCTAACCTAACCTAACTTGTCCTAAACTACACAAATAGTCAATGAGAGCCGCCACTTGGTCTGGTTAAGGAACTTATCGGGTGGCTCCTTGGAGTAGTGTGCGCAATTCAGGAATACCCGACTACCTGACTCAGGTCAGTTGGCGCAATTAATGCCCGTCCATGAAACACTCTCCCAACAATGATAAATTGCAATAAAATGGAGCCTACTTGTAGTATCAATAATCGATGAAATGTCACAAGATTGGTGAACTAAACCGACACAATTTAGATCTTAACGACGAAGAAGGTCAGGATTGTAAGGATTCATATTTTTGTTAGGTTCGTTCTACTCATGCAATTGAGTTGAAAGCATTCATAGTATGAATATTTATACAATCCTATATAAAATGGCTTCAAATCCCCATTTGAGAAGCAATCCCCAAGAAGAACAGACTACCAAACCAAAACTCCACGACCTACACATCCCATGTTGATAGGATCCTTGTCGATTGCCCACGTATAACAAAGAGAATGAGTAATTATTGTGATCGCTAGTCCCATGTTCTGGGAGACTTATTAGATATTATGGTAATATACAGACTGAATGTCCTGATATTGTGATGTATCCGTGTCACTGACACCTACACAGACACCCCGCCCCTACACTGTGATGCTACTGTTGGTTCTGTGTTTGTTTGTGACTGTTGTAGTGATAGTATACGTTCTGGGAGACTCATTATGGTAATACACAGACTGTAGTCCTGATATTGTGATGTATCCGTGTCTGACACTTACACAGAGACCTCACCCTACACTGTGATGCTACTGTTGGTTCTGTGTTTGTTTGTGACTGTTGTAGTGATAGTATACGTTCTGGGAGACTCATTATAGTAATACACAGACTGTAGTCCTGATATTGTGATGTATCCGTGTCTGACACTTACACAGAGACCTCACCCTACACTGTGATGCTACTGTTGGTTCTGTGTTTGTTTGTGACTGTTGTAGTGATAGCATACGTTCTGGGAGACTCATTATAGTAATACACAGACTGTAGTCCTGATATTGTGATGTATCCGTGTCACTGACACTTACACATAGACCCCGCCCTACACTGTGACGCTACTGTTGGTTCTGTGTTTGTTTGTGACTTTGGTAGTGTTAGTATACGTTCTGGGAGACTCA